CTAACTGACAATTACAGGGGATGGGAGCTACACCACGAAGAGTTAAAGTTACTCTTACTTCACCGGCAGCAAATTTTATGACAAGTAAGAAAATATTTTCCATTTCATTTCAATTATCTTGCCAGAAACTGGTGGAAAAGTCATTATGCCACCGCATAAAGAGGAGAGAAAGCCAGGACGCAGTGGTGATTGATTGTCATGGATTATATTTCTTACTTTAATGTGTCTGCAATGTGAGGGGACGGTGAGACGGATTAGCTTTTGGAGGAGCTCCTGCTAACTGGATTGCGCTCGTTTATTCCCAGCTCCCCAGACGGACGCTGCTGTAAGTGCCGAGCGTGCCGGGGGCGGCAGCGGGGCTGCACACCTCCCACGTATCTCTGCTGCTGCCCAGCATCTTGGCAGTTCTGCCAAAAACCTTTTTTTTTTGCCCCATACCCCAAGAAAATCACTTAACCTTGAAGCCAACAGCCTGCCCAGTGCTCCCCATCGCCCCCCATCCTTCTGCCCTTTGAGTTTCCATGCTCATCCAGGAGGCCCCGCTTTGCACCCTGGCACCGGCAGGTTTTGACGACTCTCCGGGATGTCTCCAAAATTCCTGTGCGCAGCCGAGGTGGCCTCTTTCCCACGGTGGCACCTCCCGTCTCCTCCCTGCCCCACACCGGAGCCGAGCTAGCCCAGCCGGGCTGCCCTCCCGCCGGGTGGAGGAAGCACCCTGCTCACTGGAAACTTTGTCTTCTTATCAGCAAATAGAAATAAATACCCCAAGAATAAAAGAACAAGCAATAAAAGCCGTATGTGCCTCCAGGCTCCTGCCAAGGCGGTTATAAAGTCTCTACTGTTCCTCAAAACCCAGGGAGCGTGCCAGCCATGGGGGAAGAGGCTGTTAACCCCCGGAGGGGCGGTTTTTTTGGCGCGGAGCCATTGCCGCAGCCTCGGCAGGGTTATCCAGGGTGCTGGCCCTCGGCTCCCATGGCCTGATGGAGGATGGAGTCCATCGGTATTTCTGAAAGCCCTTCACAACGCCTGATGGGTGGGCAAGCCAAGCGCAAGGTAGCAGGAGAGCAAAGATGTCCCTGCGGTGCAGCTGCACGCTGGTGGCCCCGGTGTCCGACATCGCTGCGTGCTCTGCGGCCACGGGGCAGCGCTTCTCCGGCTGGTCCAGCCTCCGGGATGGGGGAGGCTGGAAGTTCCTAACGCTCAAAAATATAAACCAAGGGGAACTAAACTCTTTAAAGAACAAAAAGCGCTTTGAGCTCCCTTCACGCAACCGGAGAACGGAAAAAATCTTTAAAGAAGACTTGCTCCTCTGAGGGGTGGCCTCGGCCACGGCGCTGCCCTCTGCACCGCAGCCTCCACGCCGGCCGGCACCGCCAGCGAGCGAAGGCGATGAGTCAGCAAACAGGGGGTTCATCACAGCCTCACAGGGGGACGTATTTCAAAGATTCGCGAGCAAGTGTCATTTTTAGCCCTATAAAATATCTCACAGCTCTCCGAGCAGCATGGAGCCGGCCAAGCCCAAATGGCTTAGCTGGCCACTGCGCCGGCAAAAGTAATTCTTCGTAAATGGAGAGGCACTCGAAGGTAAGGTGCCACCAGGGATCCTACCCTCCTAGAAATGATTTACGGCACCGTGTGCATTTTGTCAGTCAAAACCAGCGGCCTTCCAGCCGTTTTAGGCTTCAGACTATTTTTACCATACCATACCATAAAATCCATTGTCAGCCATATATCTTTATAAAAGCCTCCTGCTGACTAACAGGAGCTGCTCATGGCTGCCAAGGCGCACATCGCTCTCCTAACTTTTAAGCAGGGGCAAAGGTACCCGGCAGTTACTGCCTGCACAGCCAGCTCTGCGCCCAGGCTTTCTCCAGCGGTTGCAAAACGGGGGATGCTGATGCTCAAAACTGTGCTGAGAGGCTTTGAACCCCCTGATGGGGAGGGATGTGCAAGAACCAAGGGACTGTGAAAGGGGGTTTAGGTTGGGACTGCAGGCAGAGCCCCTGCCCCTCGCTGGGGCATTGCTGCGGGGCCAGGGTGCCCCTTCCCCGCCCCACGGCCGTGCCAGGGGATGAACAGGGCTCTCCCGTCCCCATGCCTCCATCACTCCCCGCTGCCCTGTGGGCTTGAGGGGTTTTGCACAAGTCCTTTGCTTCTGCATGACACCGTTTGATTTGGGAAACGAGACTCCCCAAGGCTCGCCAGCTCTCGCCGTGCCAGCGGGATCATTTTTGTGTTTCAGACAGCATCTGCCACTCATCCTTTAAGGGTCAGGCATCCGCAGAGACTGGAGGGCTGCCGGGCTGGCTGAGTGCAGCGAGCACCTGCGAGGAGGAGAGGGCTGCTCCCCTGGCTCCCCATGGGGATGAGTGCCACCGGGAAGCCGGCTGCTACGCCCCGAAGCTCTTCAGCAGCCCTCGAGGAGGTCTTTGATCTGCAGGCAATCCCTGATCTCCTCCAGGCAAATAGAGGCTTTTTCCTCTGCCTTTCCAGGAAAAATAGAAGGCGCAGAGATGGAGCAAGCAAGCTGGGGACACAGTGATGGAGCAAGCAAGCCAGGAAAGCAAAGCGAGGTCCCTTGGGCTCAGGACTTCAGTCCAGCCTGGGACATAAGCAGCCTCGTGCCACAGAAAACACCGGCAAAGGCTGAGCCACGGCAAAGCTCCCGGTACAAGTGTGGGATGAGCATCTTCTCCCAGGCTTGACACACATGTCCCCCCACAGCCTGGCCCCATCTTGTCCTTCTTCCCGGTACCTGGGAGCTGCCTCTTCTTGTGCTATACAGACGATCGTCCTGGCTCAGAGCCGGGGTGCGGGGAAGCAGCCCGCCCCGTGGCAGGGCACCCAGCACCAGGGGTCAGGCACCCAGCACCAGCCCACTCGATCACCAGCCGCCCTGTGAAATCAGGTGGGGGGCTCAGCCAACCCCCGTGGGGTTTTTGTCCCTCACAGGTTTACGACATGGAGCACACGTTCTTCAGCCACGGTGAGAAGAAGAAGATTGTGATGGAGATCGACCCACTGGCCAGGACAGAGACCTTCAGGAGCGGGAACGGCAGCGAGGAAATCCTGGAGATCCATGACTTCAAAAACGTGAGCGCAGCAGGGTTTGTCCCCGGGCACCTGCCTGCAGTCTTGCAGCAGGACCGACAGGATCCCTTAGGACACCGCGGGGTCACTGGAGCAAGACCTAGGATATCAGGGAGAGCAATGCCCATATGCAGACTCTCTAGGGATGCTCCCAAAGGAAAGGAGATGTGTGTCTAAACAAGCTTCCACCAGTATTTAATAGTGGCATGGTTCAGTTCTAACAAAATACATCTTAAAAGCAAGACCTAGTTATTGGATTTACCCTTGCAAAGGAACGCAATCATCATAAATCTATCCGAGCCCAGTACATTTGTCTGTCTGGAGAGCATTAAAACCTCGTGACAATGTTGTAGGCTCTCTCTGAAACCTAATTAAAATTTGTGGGGAAATACCCTGTGCAGTGACATATGGCAAAATTTTCAGCTAATAGCCTAGCAGGAACTCGGGGCTGAATGTTCATATAACCATAACGGTCAGATGCTATTCTGCATATTTTTATTTATGATAACTAGAGCTCATGATAGTTATAAGGAGAAGGGGAGCAAAGTAAAATTTTATGACTATCTGCCTTAAAATATTTGTAAGAAGCCCAATTCTCCCAAACCATAAAATGCAATATCCCTTAGGAGAACCTGTTAGTACATCTTAGCACCGCCGCTGAACAGAGTTTGCATAAAAACATCAACAGGAAAAATACAACCAAACCCTCATCCAGCTGTACCCTCCGTACGGTGGGGTTATTTATCCTCCCGCTTTGCCCTGACTGCTTTTTTGGTGTTTGTTTTGATGCTGTAGGGAATAACTGGCATCTTCTTTGTGGGACTTCAAAAATGTTTCATCAAAACCCAGACTAAAGTCCTACCCGAGACAACAGAGGCCAAGATCCCCGAGCTTGAGGTAGGTGAATAAAACAGGATACCCCTCTGCCCCCGGTGACACCCACTCCTCTCCCTGGTGTTGGGAGCGCGGCTGCCATCCCCACCGCCCTCCCATCTGCTCCAGCCTTCCTGGAGACTCAGCAATAAAGAAATAATGAGTTGTGATCGCTTCATAAAATTATCTTATTTCAGAGGATTGCTTCTAAAAACAAGAAGTGGAAAGAGATGGGATTAGACAGCCAACAGACAAAAACCTCTCAGCACAATACCGGAGATCAAGAACAATAATCCTGTTCTAGTCAGAAGGTCGCAAGGCAGCTCAGGATTAGCAGGCACCAAAAAGTCAATCAAATTGTTTTCTCCAAGAATTGAGCCTCATGTTCTCAAGCAGAATGAGGCAGAAGTAATGAATTTAAAAGAGCAGCCGTGTTTAAGAAATGCGATTTGAGAAAGCGCTTTGCCGTACAGCCCTGGGAGGTGGGAAGCGCCGGGCTGGGGCCACCTCCCTGTCCTGCATGGACCTTCCTCCCATCCGTGTGCCTGACTGCTTCTTACACCCATTCAACCTTTGCCCACCACATCCTGCTGCAAGGAGTCGCACGCTTTGCATGCTACATGGAAAAAGTGTTTGGGTCCATATTTTAAGCCCTCTCTGACAGCGTAACCTGGGGTGATGGCTCAGCCCCTTGAAAGCAGTTGTCCCCTGTCCCCATTGCCATCCCTGAGCCCCCGGCGGTGGCACGGCCCCACGGCACAGCCCTCCCGCCTCCCCGTTTGCAAGACGAAGGGTGTTAGCAGACGGAATCGCCCCCAGGGAAGCCATTGCAGATAAAACGCCAGCAGGACACATGTTTGAAACGAAGCGTGGGCAGAAACATTTCCCTGAATCATGACCCAAATTCCCAGACACTGATTTTTTGATTATGCCATAAGAAACTAATAGATCTTTTCGGCTACCGTCATAAAAGGGATATGACTTCCCAGTCTTTAGCAGAACATTGCCCCAGGTAGAGAGCTGAAATGTAAAACCCAATGAGATAAATGTAGATTTAAAATCTAGTCACCTCTTCCCAGAGCCTGCATGCTGCCAGGTCCTTCAGGCAGCACCTCCCCAACCCCACAGCTTTCACCAGAGACTCCAAAAACTACTCAGACTGGGTCAAGTTGTGTCAGCTCTTTCCTAAGACTTCCCAAAGCCGTAAAGAAAAACTCTATAAAAGGGAAATACAGCTCCAGACGCCTTCTGGAGAGAAAAATGCCATTTGCCAACTTGCTCTATGGGCTACCACCACCAACATACACAACATTGCCTTGGCAGACAGCTTAGCGCAGACCCATCCAATAATCTTTATATATCTCCCTCCCTAAGCGCCTGCCAAAACACACCATGGACTAATGCAACGGCAGAGACATGCAGTATAAATTACAGAATACAGCCATGCAAAGAATTTCTGTGAGGAATAAATTAAAGTGTTCGATCACAAAATCGGTAGCAGAAGGAGAGAGAAATTAAGTAGTAAGAGCAAAGCAGAGAGGAGATGTTTTAATCTTGGGTTTTAAATGAGCTGGGGCGCTCCAGAAGGCTCTTCCAGATGGTGGGGACTGCACAGGAGAAGGCTCTTGAAGCATGATGAACGGAGGGAAGCGAGAGCGGGGTGGTGTTGGCTGAGAGCAGGCAGGAAAGACGAGGCTCATGATGGGTGTCCCTCCATGAGGACCAGTGGGGTATTGCATGTGCACCCAGCGAGCACCCCGATCCTGGGGCTAAGGCAGACAAAGTCCAACTGCTCGCTTGGAGGAGAGAGGTGCCTCGAGGTAAGCCAAGGGGAGGAGAAGCAGCCAGCGGTGGGGAAAGGGAGTCTCACCACGCCGGGGTGAAATCTCACTTTTCTTCCAGGGAGAAGAAATCACGACCACCTACTTTGAGCAGTCCGTGGTCTGGGTGCCTGGGGAAAAGCCCATTCAAAACAAGGAGTTCCTGAAGAGCTCCAAAATTTTTGACATCTGCAGAAACGTGACCATCTACTGGATCCACCCCACACCAATAGCAGGTACAAGGAGCCACCTCCTCCCCAAAGTGCTCATGAGCCCCCTCGCCGGGAGCAGCCCTGCCACCCACTCGTGTCCTCTCTGCCATTTGCTCCAGTGCAACATGGTGGGAACCCGTTTCCACAGCCTCGTTGTACATCTCAGACATGAACACAATACTGGCCATGACCATGAGAGAGCACGGCCAATGTAATAGCAGGGGCTGAAATTTCTCTCTGCAAAGCGCTCGTCTCTGCCAGCTCCCCACCGCCCTGCACTTTGCAGAGTGCCCACCCTCCTCATAACAAGGCAAAAAAACCCCAAACCCTTTGTACCTGCAAAGAAGCCAGTGCTGCTGGAAACTGGGACGCCTAAATTCTTGTCACTGCATGAACATCAGAGCATGAGCAGACATCTGCATCTAAATCACACAACAGGGTTGCTATCTCCAGCTGCTTGCTACACAGCCCTTGCAGAGGTTGTGGCCTCTAAGATCCGCTGGTGTAATTACGCGCTCTCTCTAACCCACTTCTATCTGAATGAGATAGTTTAAAAACCCCTACCAAGAAAACTTCCACTCTGCAGCCGCAGAGGCGCATCTCATCCCCCACGGGTACCAGTCAGCCCATGGCCGTCAATGGTCCTGGGAGAAACTGGGCATCAGAGACCCCCGACGCAGAGGGAGGCTGCTGTCCTTGGCTGCTGTCCCCTTTCTGCTTCCTTGGTCTCTGCCGTTAAACCCTGCTGCAAAGAAAATTAATGTCACTGTGGGTCTTACCTAAGCCACCAACAGGTGCTGTAGCTAGGTATAATCTGCCCCAAATCATGTTGCTTCGCTGGAGCTCTACAAATCCCCCCCGCAGCAGCAGAGCCCACCACGAGAACTTGCTTCCCTGCACCCACAGCCGCATGCGGGCGATGCCAACACCACCCACGGGCACCCGCCACCCATGAGCGTGGGAAGCGGATGGGCCATGTCTTCTCTACCCTCTCCTTCTGCCACATCACCTCCTACAGCCTTTTGCCCAGGCTTGATAAGAGCAGGAGGCAACAGAGTACAGCTGGTCTGCTGGTGGGGCTGCTCAGGGTGGAGCCATTTCCTCCTCTTCTTGTACCACAGCACCAAATTTTGGTAGAGACATTAACGCCTGCTGCTGTGTTTGTCCCCCTGCTCCCTGGTTGTTGACAGCAACATTTGGGCTCTTCCTGTAGCTCCTGAGCTTGCTGATCTTGAAGGGGCAGAAGAAGAAGACCCTCAGCTGCTTGTGGACAACCAGAGCTGGTTGGATGGGGGGAGCGAACACGAGGTGGACAAGGATGCGCAGCTGGGGCCCAAGCGCCGGGCACGGCAGCTCACTGAGGAGGACCTGCCTGTCAACGACTACGTGAGTGCAGGGAATTGCACCCTGGGGTGCCCTGGCCATGGTCCCAGGGTGTCCTGGCCATGCTCCTTGGGATGTCCTGGCCATGCTCCTGGGGCATCCTGGCCATGTTCCTAGGGTGGTCTGGCCATGCTCCTGAGGTGACCTCTCCATGCTCCTGGGGTGCCCTGGCCATGGTCCCAGGGTGTCCTGGCCATGCTCCTTGGGATGTCCTGGCCATGCTCCTGGGGCATCCTGGCCATGTTCCTAGGGTGGTCGGGCCATGCTCCGGAGGTGACCTCTCCATGCTCCTGGGGTGCCCTGGCCATGCTTCTGGGGTGCCCTGGCCATGTTCCTAGGGTATCCTGTCCATGCTCCTGGGGTGCCCTGGCCATGTTGCTGAGGTGCCCCAGCCACACATCCCCCTCGCTGTACTGACACTGGCTCTTCCCGGCAGTCAGAGAACGGGCTGGAGTTCCACCCCTTGTGGGATGAGCGAGGCTACTGCTGTGCCCAGTGCCTGCCGGCGGGTCTGCGAGCCCCTCCTGGGCTACTACCCCTACCCCTACTGCTACCAGGGCGGGAGGGTCATCTGTCGGATCATCATGCCCTGCAACTGGTGGATCGCGCGGATGCTGGGCAGGGTGTAACACCCGCCGTGCAGCACCCAGCG